TATATATATATATATGCACATGCAGACACAGATGGAGAGACATCTAGCTGGCTATGAATACAGGACGAGAATCAGATGTGGAAATTTGCGCGAACACAGAAAGACTCGGCCGCAAGCCCACAAGCTGTATGCCTAATGTAGGGGCCTTAAGAATTAGAATACGGCTTTGGGGTATATCCTACTAGAAGCATCATAAGGAGCCCCCCAAATAGTAGAGGTAATTATTATTATTATTAATAATTACTATTATTATTAGTATTATTAGTATTATTAAGGCCCTTATGTTGCCGAGCCTTAGCCCACCCGGCCCCGTGCCGCCTGCTTCTCTGCCTGAGCGGGGGACAGTGACGCGCTTTTGTGAATCCAGAAATAACTCACGAGTCAAATATACTTTGCTACAAGCATCATCATTTCAAAGCAAAAAACAATAGGAGTAATGGGAGTAATAATCACAAAAGTAATGCTACCAGGAATAAGTTGTAGTGGGCTGAGAGGGGCCCGGCCTCTTCGCCGTGGGCTTGGGACTTCCGGACCTGCCGCGCGTAACCGCGCAGGGCCGCTTCAAGTCCGGCCCAGTCCAGCGGCCGGGCGAAGCGCTTCAGGGTGGGCATGCCCATCCGGACCTGACACAAGAAAAAAGGGCCAAAAACCGGTAGAGTATACGATAGTCCCACAGCTCAAGACTCTCTGCGCCTTGGAGTCGTTGGTCCTGCGAACCTCTGTTCAGATCAAAAGCAGCGTTTGAGCCGAAGAACCGAAAAGAAAAAGACGAGCGACGAAGCGCAGGTGGGCTTCTTCGATGTCCATGAGCTCCGTGCTGGTGTTCAGCAGAAGCGTCATCTCCGTCAGCTCCTCGTAGCATTCCACATGGGTGTCCTCGGTGCTATGCACACCCGGCTGCAAGCGAACCCTGAACCCCAAGCCCTGCGGTGTATCAAACAGACATCAGATACAAGCCATCAAACCTCCATGGGCCTATCATATATCATACATACTATACTATATCACATCAAAACATATCTTGTACGTGTATGTGGGTATATATATACATATACATATAAATAAATATATATATATATATATAGGGCTCAGAAGACGTCCAATAGCTGGACGATTGCTGACTTGCCCCAGTGTCTTTAGACACGCCTCACGAGCGCCATTGGGCTTCACGCGGCCTCGCCCCGGTGGCACAGAAGACAACGAGCCAGAAGATCAAGGGCCCGTCTCAGGGTTCGAACCGCTTCTCTTCGCGGACACACCCCGGCGGAGAAGGATCTCTTGCTGCTACGGAGCCATCATTCCTTTCCTCGAGTGATGGGAAGAGGAGGCCGAGGACATCAACAGACATGGGTACGACCCTCTGGACGCGGTCGAGCGGACTCCAGCGGCTCATCCTACTGGGATTGGTGGCCTGGTGCGTGGTCGCCCAGGCGTGGGGAGCAAGACCGATACGACCGCATCGATGTCACAGAGGAGCAGAGGGGCGGACAAAAAGGTTTCCAGAAGGGAGCCACAAGCGATGCGGGAGTTCTGCAGGAAGTGCAGAAGGCCCTTACTGCTGCCAGACGCGCGGACACCCGTCTCCGCAAGATCCAGGAAGAAAAAGCCCAAAGGGCAAAACAGTGGACGATCTACAAGCAGAACCTCAAGGAGAAGTTGTACCGCCAGCAAGCAGCCTACGAGCAGGACTTGGCCAGGCTGGAGGAGGAAACCATCACGGTTACGCAGAACGGCCAGGAGGCTGCAGCGAAAGTGAGGGACATTATTGTCCGCGGCATAGAAGGTGCCCACAGGACAGAGTCTACTCAGGACATGGAGGAAGCATGGGACTCCTTTATGGAAGAGGGCGAGGACTCCCCGGAGCAGAGTGGTTTCCTTGCGGAGGCTCTTCAGCTTGCGAAGGGCAGGTCCTTTCGGGCGCCACAAAGCGAAATGGATCAGAGGGATCCTGCTCGGGTTCTCCGGGAGAACCGGGACCCGCCTGGAGGAGCAACAGGGATCTTCCCTGGGGCGAGACCTGCACCGGGGCTTGGGTGTGCCCTGCCAACCCCTGCCGAGGCCAAGGACATGGAGAGGATGCACCCTTTGGAGACAGCGACCTGCTCGGCAGCAGAGGAATTCGGAGGCTATGCGCCACCCGCTCTCAACAAGGCACCCTACGTTTCCTCGCCCAACACGAGAGTGAATTTGGCGTCGCCGAGCTTGGGAAGACGACAATCGGTCAAGACACACACCAAGCCAGATGTTGGCCCACCGAGTGGTCCCTCTCTCCAGGCGAAGCTAGATGCGAAGAGAGGCCAGGCGCTGCAGCCCTTCAGGGTCGACGTCAGTGCTGCCCGGGACACGACTTCCCTTCCGGATGCATCTGGGGATGCCTCCAGGACCGAAGGGACCGTAGATGTGGACTCCGAGATGCCGATGGACACGGGGCATCGTCCTGGGGCTGTGAGAGCGCCAAGCTTGGATGGTCTAGGATAGCCCCATTTCCTCTTCTGAGAGCTTCGCGTATTGCATTCGACTGCACAGGGATTTTGGATCGCATTCAGAGCCCTAGTTTGTCCACACTGTCATTGGGGACACTGTGGATGAGCGAGTTGCCCTGCGTGCAAGATCTCTTTCCTGGTAGCGGCCTGAATGCGTACTGCGTTGCCGATGAGGGAGTACAAACTCTGTACATTCTTCGGATTCTGTACAGTTTTGGGTGTTCTATCACCGACCCTTGTACATCCTTCTTTGGGGAGACGATTTTCTTTGATTGCGCCCCTGGGATTAGGCACGGACCACGTGTCGCTGTACAATGCCTTGGAAAGCCCTCCTTTGGATCATGTTTAAGGTGCCGTCTGTCTGAAGGCCGGAGCGGCAGTGACTTCCTTGGGTTCTGGAAGTTCATTGTCACTCAGCCAATTTCTTCCTCTGCCGGTCTTACTCAGCACTGGTTTTGTGCTGCGTCTTGGCTGGCCCCGCCATGCTCCCAGCATCGTGCATCCTCTGGGCTTCTCGTTTTAGCTCACACCAATTTTGGTCCTGGTTTCCCTTTTAGGGTTGCTTGGGTTATTGTAAGACCTGTTCCTGGTTTGGGGCCTAAGAGACGCATCGGTGGCGCTGGGGCGTCCTCCAAGTCCCAGGCAGGTCCTTTTGTCAATCACGGGCTTCGCAAAGCTAATTGCTTCGCCGCACCTTGTGCGCTTCAGTGCTGCTTTCATTTTCTTGGCAGTTTTTCCCCCGAGGCTTCCTCTGTAGCTCCGGGGCAGCACTTTTCCACTCCTTGCCTTGGAATGTGCCTCTACCTTTGCTCATTTTGGCAGGTCCTTGCCTGCTGGGGCCGCGATTTGCGCTTCGGTGCCTTTTATTATTGTTTTCTTCCGACCTTCTTCTCTACGTCGGCTTTTGGCTGTCCCTTCCGGGATGCCCCCACTCCTTTAAACTCTCTCACCAACCTAGTGCCTAAGAGACGTATCGGTGGCTCAGGGACGTCCACAGGTTTGGCTGAGATCGAGCAGATTGTGCCCCTTTCTTCCTGGATTTTGTGGCTGACGCATCAGGCTACCTCTGTCCTTATTCTGCTTGGGGGGTCTTTTTTCAGCGCTTTGTTGACCCTCCTGTTCGGACACAAACTGATTCAAAGGTCTCCTTTGGGGAGACTTCTTCTTGCCTGTTTTCCAGTCAGGCACAAAGCGCTTGTGATTCCTTTTGCCCTTGTTGGATCTGTCACTGACCCAGTCCTCGACTGGCGCCCTCGAGGGGTTAGGCGCAGAATCCTACCTCAAACCAGGTTCTCTATCTGGCATTGGGGTTTGTGCTTGCTTTTCGGATTTATCAGCCTCCCTGTGTGTGTTGGGGCTGTTCGTGATCCTGACATAGTTGGCCCTTACGTAACTGATCTCGCAGTTGACTTTCTCCCTGAAGCACCTGCTGCAGTTGACCTCTCCGACACTCCTGAATGTGCTGCTTGTACTGAGGCCAACCAAGGGTTCAGAGACATTGTCCGAGAGGCCCTGCGACTTGAGCCAGAGGTCTTTGCATTACAATGCGCGGTCATGAAAGCAGACTATCCTACCTGTCTCTTCGTCCTGCATCATGAACTACCCACTGCCGTTTCGACGTTCCATGCAGCAGTTGCAGGTAGATATGTCAGGCAGACTGGTGATGATGGCTCGTCACAGGTTTTCGCACTCAATCCGCAGCCCCTTAATCCTTTCGCTACCTTTGTTGTTGTGCCAGATTGGGTTGCACATGCCGAGAAGGCAATCTACATTCTTGACTTCTCCAAGTGCTCTGGTCCCGTTTACGCAACTTGCGATTGGCGCTCTCTTTCGCGGGTCTCCCTTGACAAGGTTGCACGCCTCCATATCACAGGGGAATGGCATGTTTTTGCACCAGGAAGCAGCACCCCAATGTGCGATGCAACCGTTGTTGAGGCTAGCAATGGGGATGTCTTTAGGTTTGTTCCTTCCGGCACTTCCGTTGGTGATTCACCGTCCCTACGGAATAAGCTTACTCACTATGGTTATTGGTCTCCTGACGATAACCTACCCCGCTTTGAGTTCGATAGCGGGGACACCTGGCTTTTTCTTCGCAGCCATGTCACGCGAACCCCGCGCTGTCGATCAGGAGAAATCGACCAGCTCCTGAGGACCCTCGCAGAGTCCACCCACAACGAGCCGGGGGAGCTCTCTTTTGGCTTTGCCAAACACAATAGTCCTCTACTTGCCACTCTTCGAAGAGGTCATCGGGTACATGGGGTCGCTGCTGCCGAGCCAAGGCCCTCCTCAGGATGTGAAGTTACCAAATACGGTGCTATCGTCTTCCTTGATCCAAGGAGCGCCGGCCTTGACCCTACTTTTATAGTTTGTAGTCCTGGCTGGGTTGACCTCGATAGCATTGTTAGGTTCCTCACTATTGGGGTTCCCATCGGGTTTGCCCCAGTCCCCTTTGGTGTGCCTTTTGTCAAGGGCAAAGTGCAGGTCACTCACGAATGCACAGTTGAGCTTTTCCTTCATTCCAGGAACAGTGCTCTCAATATCAAAACTGCTTCTTCTGCGCAGCCAGGCAATGCCTCTCGCTCTCAGGGATCTGGGTACTCCCAAGACGACTATGAGACCCTCCGTTTCCGGGAGCCAACACGTTTTGATAGGGAGGCACTTGAGGGACCCACAGCTGAAGCAGCTCTAGGTCTTGCTACTGATGATGTGATTCAAGTCCCTGATGCTGAAGATGTGCAGGTCGGATTCCTCATTTTCTCGCCCAGGTTTGATCATGAGACCGTGCAAATCACCCTAAGATTGCCATGTACACTGGGTGAGGTCTATTGTGCCGTCGCAGACAGCAGAGTCAGTGATGCATCTGTCTTCTTCGACAGCTTCATCGCTGTCAATCCACAGCCAGATACTGGCTTTGTCTCCATCCTTGCCTTTCCTGTCTGGTTTGAGGAAGGAAGCATTGTCCTTATTGATGCACGGTGCATTGACGGACGGATCTTCGCCACTGTCCTGCCAACATTCTGCAAACGTGCTTCCCTCCTGCTCCAAACTGGGATCGGGGAACAGCCTGGAATGCTTGTTTTGCTCTCAGGACAAGACATGCTCCCCGAGCACCTCTACCGCATTTACAGTGGAGTTCTTGTTCGCGTCTTGCCTGTCGGTAGTCAAGTCCCTCGTTCTGTTACGATTGAGGACCTACTTACTCCCGGGCGCATATGGACCATCCCGTGTCCTACTTACCTTGGAGAGCTTGACTCAGCATTTTGGGTTCTTTCAGATGCTGGGCAAAAGATTGTCCCCATCCAAGTCACTACTGATGACTCTTCTCGGGTTTTCAAGGAAGCTACTGCTGCGGTCCTTCAGTATGTCCTTGAGCACACCACGGTTTGCCCTACTGTTCCCCGTGTTCGGGATGCTGCCTACCTTGGGCAACACTGCAGAGCTGTCCTTGTCGCTACTGAATCTATTTCCAGAATCCCTATTCCACCTGGGCGGCCACTCCCGAGACTGCACATTGTTATCTTTGATGAGCGTTTGCTCCTCCGGGACTTTACCTGGAGGCTCGCAACTCAAGGAGTTCTTGATTTCGATGCCGTTACGCATGAGTACCAGTTACTCGCCCCCGAGGGGTATGCAATCAACATAAAAGGGGGTCAGCCGGAGCTTAGAGGGGCCCGCAC